AATCTTCTATTAATCTAAATAGGGAAATTTTAAATGATGTACTACAATGAATCTCAAAATGATTTCAAACAAAACAAAAGTCACATTAAGGTCCCTTAAAGGGATTAAATTAAAGGGATTGTAAAGCCATTTTCTAAAAAATTTTCCATTCTGATTTTCAATCAGACATATGTGGTTCCTGCAATTCCCATAAAACTAAGTGTTTGATGACGTCACTAATCGTGAAGCATATTTTGCGATTACTGACGTCATCATGTGCTTATTATTGGTGGAATTAGAGGAACCATGGATGTAAACAATTTAAGCTAATTTTGTGCTCTGCACTTAGAGAATTTCTGCAAAAATCTTTGAGGCTTCAAAATTACAACAATTAGATTTACCACTTTTTAATGTTTTTAAATCGAGAAAAGCAAAGAAAACACAATGCAGTTTTATTATGATAAAATATCTGTTTTGATACAATACAGGCCAGCCATATAAAATATTATTAAATAAATGTATAAAATATTGATTATATTGTCAATGTGTTGTTCATAATATCTATTTATCTTGCTCCATATAACTCTATTTCAAAATCAAAATAACACTATTATACACATTCTCATCATCATTATCATTCAGAATCAACCTGTGGAATCCACAATTATAATGTGAAAAGTGGATAATGGTGTTCCAGAAAAAGTAAGCACCTATTTCTTCATTGATTATTGATTCTCAACTGTATTGTGATTGATCTATAAATTACAGGAAGAAAATCATGTTGTCTTGTATGTTATAGAAGATACTTTCTACAGAAATACCAGCCTAGGTCACAAGAAGACAGCTTAAATTTTAAATACCTTTTAAAAATTGAATTAAATTCATGACATTTATTTCAAAGAGTGTAACAAGGACTGTAACAATTTGTGTATAACAATCACTATATTATTATTTTACATGACCATGATTTGACTAGGTTTTACATGAATGTATGAACTATTATTTCATCACAAAAGACACAAAAGAAACAGTGTCTGAAATAAACAATGTGCTATATTCTCTTTTAGCAAAAACCTCTAAAACAATATATAGTGAGGCATCTATGTATGTTAGATGAACTCAAACCATGAAAGAGAATTTCCAGCATGGTGGTTTAACCTTTTAAAGCAATATTATGATCAGCAGACTAGAACAATGGCTTCTGTAGTCAATAACGATTATAACCTTCCTTATTTCACATTAAGATAAACTGAAAACAATGATAAACACCTAGCTCCAGTCTTTAGATTAAGTATTAATCTCAAGCCAATTTCTTAATAATTCCCGAAAATATAAGAAAGTTCATAACCAAAGTTCATTCACTCACATAAAGCACTGATGCTGATCGGAATAAAATATTTCAATCAATATATATTTTTCATTTCATTCCAAAAAGAACACACATTCAAAGATACTACCGATTCCTCGAAATAACACCTGTTTAGATTCATAAACTATTACTGATGCATTCATAATATCATATCACATGTCTGTCTCTTTAATATCTCCTTCAGACATTCTTTCATCTTTCAGTTTTTTAAACTTTTGCCAAAAAATATTTAATATTAATTAAAGACCAATACTCGATCATAAGAAATGATGCCACAATATCAGATCTTTTTTACCAATATAATTCCCACTCCAGGATTCATAAACATACTTCTCAGAGCTTCTTATAGATTAGTGTTTGTACCTTTACTTTTTTACCTTGCTAACTTTGTTTGGATGCCACACTTAATACTATCATTATTTTTTCCAACACAATTCCACATTCACTGCTTGCAGCCAGTTTGGAAATAAACCATAGGAATTGGAGTAGAACTCTGAAGGTCCTTCTAGAAGCAATATTATTTCCAAGACTAATAACCAACACTATTCATCTTCAGCCTCTGGCAGATCAAAAACCATTATTAATGCTTTATTTACCAAGGTTAATATAAGACTATAAGTAATGTTCAGTGTGTGGAGAAAAGATACTGTAAAGGAAACTAATTGATTGAAGAAATAAAATGACCAGACCTGTTTCAATTTATACAAGTTCTGGATCAATAAATTCATCCAGACTGTTTCTGGATCTTTTAGATTATCTAAATTGGCAGAAAAGATGATTAATTCATGGTATTGCTTGTGTCTTTACATATATGGTATAAATTTGGAACTATTTCTGTTGCATTACTAAACATTAGTAGCTAAAAAATAGAAGTTTTGTAAGGTTCTCCCCCTTTACTGGCAAACCATTGTATAAAAAAAACCTACCCTTATTAAATTTCTTTACAGGTTGCACAAACATTCATGGACTGTATTTGGAAAATATTGATTGGAAATTGTAATAATATATCTGATATAAGTGATATTAAGATAGATTGATTGCTATATTATCGATATCAATTTTCTGATATGATATTAATGAGATTTGCCAGTAGATTGGTATCTCTTGTGTTAACAATATTCATTATGATAGCCACCATCATATGTAAGTATGGGAGCTTGGCGGTTTGAAACTCAAGATTCTTTCAAGAGTTATAGTGTTTAATGTTAATATTCTATATCAGTCCCTTCAAGGTGAAGTCACCATCTTCAATAGCCCACATATTGCAGAAAGGTAGGACGTAAAACGCCATTCATTTCATTTCAAAATGAGGTTTTTAAATTTCATCAAAATAATATTTGCCAAAAGATATGATTTATCAAGTTAAGATTAGATCTGAATTCTATCAACCACTAAATTTCAGTACTGAAGTGTCTAAATATAAAATAGTTCACGGTAGGTGGTGATCTTTGATACATTATCTGGGTACTTACAGCAAAAAAATACTTCAGTCTTATCTTATTATATCAATATTTTATGATAGGTACTAGATTAAAGGGATTGAAAAGAGGTTTTCTAAAAATTGTGTTGTGGACACTGACAGCATCAATTTTCGCCATTCCAGTTTTCAATCAGGCGTCTGTGGTTACTGCAATTCTACTAAAATTAAGTGTATGATCACTAATCGCTACTAATTACATTTTAAAGCATATTTTGCGATTAGTAACATCATCAAACACTTTGTGCAATTGCAGGAACCACAGACGTCTGACTGAAAATCAGAATGGTGAAAATTGTTACAATCATTGTGCCTGTGAAGAATTATATTTAATGCAAAGATTATCACAATAAAAGTAAACTGTTGAAATCCAACTTAGTTAGAACACAATTACTTCTTTATCATCTATTTTGTCTCTTAAATCTGTCAAAAAGAATTAATTCATACCCAAGGTGTAAAAACTTCTAGATGGTGACAAAAAGATTAAAGTGAACACTCAAAAAGAATGGTGTTATAGAGTAACACTTTTTATCTCTTGCCTCTGGGTACAGACTATCTTCAGTGTAATAACTGATTCAATCAAAGGAAAACTTTTAACACATTTAGAACGATGTTATGTGATAATGACATGGATTAAGAAAGATTAATCTTAATCTCTAGTAAATATGATCAATTTTAGCAGACCTTTAATTGCAATTGAGACAAACAATACTAATGGTTGTAGTATTTAATTAATTGAACTGAGACTCAATCAAACTAACTTTACAATATTTTATCATTCAGATGGGTTTTTATTTTCATTTTACTTTCTTATGTAATAATTATATTTTCATCCTCTGGACCAAGAATTTAATGTCTTTTAGTTGCTTGGCGTAAACAGGGCCGAAGTCACAGATATAAGCAGAACCCCCAAAAATACACCAGAATGTAGGGCACCAAAATTTTTTGATAGTTGAGAAACCTAATTCCAAAAATCATTATTCATTTCTTTTATGATTTCAAACTTAATCTAAACCATTTAAAACTGTACAGATCATTTAAAAATAGAAACAATCAAGCATTTGACATTGTCGACAATATGTCATCATTTTGACATCTTTTAAATTTGTGACAGAGACCAGACAACTTTAGTTTCTCAGTGTAAATAAGTAAAGAAATATGACAAGCTGTTTATTTATCACCCCTAAACCTGACTTTATCAATTGACTAGTAGTTTAATGTATTGGTTATGATTATTTATTACCAAATTAGTAATCAATCAACTATAAGGTGTTACCGTTAAACATTGGAAACCAAATACGCCAAAATTCATAAAACCTTGTATGAAAAGGGTAAATACAGTTATTGACTGTGATGCATATTTTGCACTTTTATTTGTTTGTGTTTCTATTCTGGTTTGCAAAAACTGGTATAACTGGTTAGTGAAAATACATTGCTCAATAAGCATTTATTGCAGCAGCAAGATACTTCTAATCCTGTTTAACAACCCAGCAATAAGTAAATTAAAGAATCCTGGATAGTTGCAGGATGAAGGATTGCTTGTCTGCTGTCTTGTACTTGTCACAAACTGTTTTGGACCATACAGCTCCATAAGCCTAATATTTCTTCTCTTAGCTCAGTAAAGTGCTGACAAAGACTCATGCTTAAAGTTCTGTTTCATTCTGTATTTTGTTGGTATCAATACAAATAAATTGAATGTCTGTCACTAATTAATTAGACATGTAATGAGAGAAATGACTAATTAATGAGCTGAAACATGTCAAATTTCTTTTCTTTTCAATTAGAGAACAATAAACCCAGTGATACTAATAGTAAACAATAATATGGAAGTAAATAACAATGACTCAACAATAGGTTTTCATTTTTCTTGACATATGGTAACTAATACAGCCTTGATAATCAACATATGACAAACTATGACAAATTGATTTCAAATTTTTCTCTTTGAAAATGACATTTTGATTTAAAACAAGTATAAATGGTCACCAATGTTTTGAGTCACTATACAAATTGATTATATTGTCTTTCCAATTTTAAGTTTTTGCTCTAAATTTGCAGGTTAAATACTACTATTCTATTGCTTAAAATGTACTACAACAAAAAAGCTTTGTCCATGTCAAAACCAAATCTTGACATATATAATCCTAATTAACAAAATTAAACCTTGCAACAACAATGACAAAAATAATGCCTGGATTACAGCAACAGTTATTGTTTGATGTTGAGGTGTATGGCAGATTGCAATGGGTCAAATATACACAAAGATTAAGTTTTTAAACTCCTCCTGAATAATCTAAGCTGCCTACTTATTTTTTTCAGAAATTCCTAATTACAACTTATGGACACCTATCATATGTAATATGACCCTTTAATGTTACTGTAAGAAATTTGATATAAACCAGTTTCATTTTAAATTTAATATGATATGTACAGTTAGAAATTACAGGAACTTTCAAAATTACCTTAATGTTTGTACTGCACATTCAAGTAGATTCTAATTTTGTAACTTATAATGACACAAAAAACATAGCATTACAAGTATTGATGTCTTATTTACTTTAGTATGATTTTGCAAGATCAAAAAGACAAATTTTTTAACCTTCTGAAAGTCAAACCGGTTTCTCAAACATTATAAAAAGCCTGAAAAATTTAATGTGATGTTACTTTCGTTAAATATATCTTTTATGAAAAAATTCAGACATGAATGTGCCTCAAATTGCCAATTCAGAAAAAAATGTAGAACAATATTTGAAATTTGACATAAATCTGCAAATCCTACTTTCAAATCCCCAGCTCTCCTGTTAAACAATTGATTTTGAACACAATTGAAATACAAACCTAACACGTCTTTACAATGATTGTTTTCCACTGTAGAATTCTCTTCTATAGGCCACATTTTCACCAATCCAATAAAATTTGGGAAATAAATAAACACAGTTTTATGAATTAATCCTAGTAAACATCACCTCTTGTAGCACAAAGCTGACTTCCTGTTCTCACACAGATCAATAAAATGGTGTGGTTTGAAAAAGACTGAAGGTAGAGACTAATCAATATTAGTGGCCATACAGCTTTATATCTTCATTATAATAGTCAACTGTAGCAGACGGCTTAGTTCTCATTGTCAATGACAAGGGAGGCAACTCTTGATAAGACAAGCACACTTCCTTGATTAAGGTTGTAATCTGATGTAGGTGTGACTTAAAGTGGCTTTAACAGATTATAAATTATTAAGTAGATCCTTTTACAACTATTCTAACCTTTGTACAATTGTTGAAAAGTAATTCAATGTCCAAAGCCCTTAAACAATAGCAGACATTTTGTTTTGTGCCACTAAGATTTCTTTTGATTGACGTGTATTTCCATCATAGAAAAATATAAGCCATTGACAAAAAGAGATGTGTACTTATTATCTAAAGTTGTGGCTTGAAATGTAATATTTAGTTGCTTTGTTTTCTGTGTTTTTCTTGTACAATCATGGATGCTTGTTTAAGATAAAGAATTTTCATTTGAAGTTTGTTGATAAATTCTTGTGCTAAAACAAGCAAATAAAAGAAAACTAACTTCATTTCAAAAGAAGTTTCTATATGGTTGAACCAATTTGAAACATAAATAATGTACAGAGACATCACTTAATGGAACTTGTTTGTAACAAAGTATTCTAATTTTGTTTAAACTAAGGTTTTCAATGACTTGACAAATCCTCTTCCACTTAGGGAGCCTAGCTTTTAAATAAGCACTATGGAAGATATTCTGAAAGCAAAACTCACCTTTAAGTTGAGATAAAAACAATTATATAGTTTGAAAAGTTTTTATTCACAAAAATAATTGACCATTTCAAAACCTGTATTACTCATTATACAAGCATAGTATATAATTTGTTAAATAGGAAATAGGTGAAAGGTTAGTAATTAAACAGCCTAGCTGGGCTTAGTAAGTTTGTCAGCTTTTTATAATATTGCATTAGAGAATATAACGATATATATGAATATGGGAATATATTTCTATTATTAAATAGAGCTGAGTGCATTAATTATAGAATGATATAAAAATATTTAAAAGAGAAATTGAATTTTGTTAAAAGATTTTCATGGCATGTGCTAAGATTTCTTCTGTGATGAGATACTATTTGCTTGAATTTCAGTGTTTCATATCATATTTGAGGACACTAATCACATAAATTTGCATAAGACTCAAAGAGGTCTCCCAGAATATTTCTATCCAGAAATTTAAATCTAAATCAAACTCACTTGAATCACAAGTCTAAAATTCAGACTTTTCTAAGTTTATACTTATACTTTCCTTAGTAATTTGAGTATTCAGTACTGATAAATTTTGGAGTGCTAATTCTTGCATGATATCATAACTACTGTTTGTCCACAATGTCTACAAAATCTCATTTCTTATCTTATTATGAATTTAAATATTAACGGTTACATCTTGAGTAGTCTTAGATTCTATTTGGGTTGATGAAAATGTCCAGCAATGAAAAAATTATTATTTGACTATTTGGAAAGATGATTTTACAAAGGTGAATTTTCAGCCTGAAATATGGTTCATGCAATTGAAAATATTTGTTCCGAAAATTTGTGAAATGAAATAAATATTTAAAGTCTGTGCGCAGGCTAGACAGAGACTAAAGTAAATTGTAGGAACTATCATCAATATCATCAAATCAATACAACAATCCAAGAAAATTAATTTGATAACATGCACCAGTACCTCAAATCTGGAGTTCCCACATTACTGATTGATATGAACCAGTGGTAGTCATGTTTTTCTCTTTAAAACTTTTCAAAATGAATGTCAAGAGTTTCTCTGTTTTTCTTGTGTATAATATAGACCTATTGGTGGGTATTGTTTTCCATAAAAAATATGAATCACAAGCAGGTGCCCGTTTTCCGGCTTTGTGGGAACCGACATTACAAGAGATCTAGGTCAGCTCCGCGAAAGATTTATGTTATATAGTAGCAATACATTGAAATTAAGAGATATAAATGGAAAGACATGCAAAAGAAGCTAACATACCAACACCGTTAGTGTGAGAAGAAACCGGCTCTGAATCATCCATCATTATTTTGGAAGTGGATTGAGAACTACGTCACCACATATTGCGTATTTTTGTTTCCGGACATTATCGCTAAAAAAACACATTACTTAAATGATAACTCATTTTTAATTTGCATTTAAGATTTTTACTTATGAACAAAAATTAGATTGTTCCAATATCGTAATTTTTCTAATAACCAAAATATAAAAAAATAATAGATCTAAAAAAATCCGAAGATGACGTTATATGTCACGTGGTTTCGGCGCGAAGGTTTAAAGGAAGGTTATTTTGACAGGAGAAAAAGGCCTAGAAGAAAATTCAATTTTAACAATATTTAAGGGATTTTTTGAAAATCAATTGAAGTAAAAAAAAAAATATCAATTTATCATTCGTCTTGGCTAAATTGGATTAAAGAGACGCAAACTTACTCTAACATTTGATTGGCCTGGTAGTGCTTATTCTTGACATTATTTTCACATGGGATGATCAAATTTGAGATTTTGCCGGTCGACTGAAAGTAAAGCTTCCTATCCACAAGCGTATTCTGAGTATTCTGACTATCAATCATTATTCAGTGTCATCATTCTATGATGAATGAGATAACAGTTCTAATAACTGATTCAGTTATGTCAGTTAATTAGAATGTTCAACTGATCCGTGTAGTGCCAAAGCCAAATGAAAGCTCTCAGAATGGTTATTTTATAGAATATATTATAGATCAGTAGCCCAGATAGTGTCAGCTCATTTTGAGATATTTCAACATTATTTCAGATGTCAACGAAATTTTGTTATCAACCAGTTTTTGATTTTAACAACAACTCAGTTTTGGAAGATAAGTTTCATGCTGAAGAAGATGTCCAGCTATTTCATAATGAAATCAATGTAAAGGTTGAACCTAATGAAGCCATGGCACAGTCTCAACTTAACAATATATCCAGTCATGTTGAGGCGTCTGATCCCTTTCTATCAACTGGAACATACAATCAGGTATACAGGATATTGCATTTGGTTTGCCCCTGAATCTGTTCATATGCAGGACAAACTTTTATGAGTTACACTATAAGACAAAACATGAGAAAATTGAACTAATAAACTATCACATTTGAAGAGAAATAAAACATCATAAGCAAAATGAAAGCATGAACCTCATTTGTGAGATAAAACCCAAATGAGTGGATTAACACCACAAAAGAAAATAGAAACCTTATGACTGTAATTAGACCTCATGAGTTAGGTTAAACCTAGTGAATATAATGAGACATGACTCATGAGTAAGGTAAAACCTCATGACTGAAATGAGGCCTCATGAGTAAGGTAGAACCTCATGACTAAAGAGACCTCACAAGTAGGGTAAAACCTAATAACTGTAATGTGACTTCATGGGTAGGCCTAAAATAAGTTACCTCATGACTAATAGGACCTCATAAGTAAAGTAAAACCTCATGAGCACTAATTGAGTGTGTAAACTTAAGTCATTGAGTGAGGTTAAACATCACCAGAAGTTTATAAATTGTAGGTTTATGGACTATACAATTCTGAAGCTCTGAACTCTCCAACGAACAGGAAGAAAACTGGTGGTAGAAAAGAAAGAACACCAAGAACATTGTTAAAATTGATGGAAAGACATAGGCATAATGAGAGGTATTAACTGGTTAATTACTTGCTATGAATTTCATGGTGTTCAGTAATTAATTTTTTATTTTCAGGCAACTTGTTTTCCTTCAAATTAGACCAATGAAGAATGTCATTTTCCAACAATATTGAATACCACATCAATAATGAAATGTAGATTTACTTCTTTATTTTAGGAAAATATTCTCAAAAATAAGCCTATAGACAATTTGTATTTAATCATGAATATTTTCAGAGTACGACATCATACTCTGAATGAAAGATTACGAGTGATCTGTCAATTTGTACCAGGATCAGGAGAAGATGGAAGGGAGACTAAAGTAATGTTCTCTTTTATTGTCTGTTTGGAAAATCACTTGTGCTCTTTTGCATTTAGCAAGCTGTTTAAGTGTTGTTGGTTTCAAAATTCTTCATAATATTTAGTCATGGGATAAGATATAAAAGTTTTGAGATTTGTTCTAGAAGACTAGTTATTGTCTGTTTAGTGACTACCTATTTTTTGTCCTAATCAGACAAATAACAATATACTATGGAATAGCACATTTCATTTTGCTTTAAGGAGGCTTTGACTGCAGGAAAATATTTCTTTTGTTAATAAAAAATATATTTTATTTTTTGGACAGGTAGTGATGATGCAAAGAATTATAAGTTATATCGCTTATTTAGAAAACACTATTTGTCAAATACGTAGTCAACTTGGTCTTACAGCAGAACCCTGTCTTACACCTTTAACTATACAGTTGAGGAGACAAATTGGTAGGAAATATTATGGAACTATATGTAACAACATTGTCAGATATTTTCAAAAAGGCAAATTTTTCTGTCACAAAATATTCTATGGAAATTTTATTTAAGATGATCATTTACTTGAACAAATACACAACTTTTAGTTTTCAGAGGATATCATCATGAAATGTTATATTAGAAAGCTTACTTAGCCTTGACTAAATTTCCAGTCAAATTTAAATAAGACCAAACCTATTATTACCTTTTTTAATTAGCTTTAATTTTTGATATAGCCACTTTACTTAGTGTCTAACAACAGCCCCCTTGAAAATTGACCTTTTGACCTAATCTGATAAATGCTGCATCACAAAATGCCAGCGCTGGAGAAGTTAGAAATTTGTTTGGATAAACAACATAAACAAACGAACATTGAAGAGGGCTGTCATTAGATCCTAACTGAAGAGGCTATATTAAAAATAAAAGCTAATAAAAAAGCATACCGGTACAAAAGGTTAAGTTCAATTTTAATTGGAGCTCTTCATAAATAATATTTGTGGAGTAATACTTCAATTTCATTATTAGATGAATTTGCTAAGTTGGCAGTGGTTCCAAATATGGATGAGGCCACTAAGAGTAAAAGATCAAGAATGGAACCCAAGAAAGAGGTATATAACATTCAAGTTTGTTGTAAGCCAACCATTGGATAATAGCTCTGACATTTTCATGAGTTTTTAATAACTAGGGTGTGTAGGTTAAGGTATATATTTATTTGGATACCTCTGAATACAAAATCAAGAATTCCCATTGTACTCATGCACTAGATTTTCAATTTGCTTAGGCTTTGATAATGATTTGAAACACTACATGATAGCACACACTAAATAAAAAGCTTTGAGTTCAACTCTTTTTAATTTTAGTAATGTTTAATAATTACTATTTTAGGCACCAAGAAGATATAAAATATCATCACCAACTGTTGATTCTACAACTGATATACCTTTCTATACTAAACCATATTACCATAATAGTCAAGAATCATCGCAGGATTCCATGGCACCGACATCTACATTTTATTCCATGAACTCTGATAATTCTTTACCTCACTGGTTAGAGGATCCTATGCTGCATTCCAATGGTAATAGTTTAAATTAAGTATAAAAAGACCCAATTAAACGTGAACACTCTGAATCGAGTTGACAGTCACATCAGGCGTTAAGTAATTCATTCATAATATATATTGATAGTCAGATACAGTGTCTGTTTGATTGACAAGTCCTAGATCATTGGTATATGTTGTATAAAACATTAAACAACATACAGTTATGCCTTCATCATCTCTGGACGACCAACTGGGGTATACTTTTGGTAGGTTTTTCTTTTTGATCCTTACATAAAAATATTAAATTTCTGTGAGTTAATGCTAATGAATTTCTGTTCTGTTTTCTTTAAGATGATTTTGAGTCTTTATTTGATCATCCAGTGTTTGATAAATCCAATCATTTTCAACCAATTATTACCTCAGATTCTTTCGTAAGTACAAGCTTCAATTTTTGCATCCACTCAGTCATTGATGACTCACCACCAGGAAGTCTGCTTAAGATAGCTAATTCAATGCTCCATTTCAGTTGTATATGCCCAAAAAAATTGCAGTGGTGCAATCCGACGCAGCCTTGAAAGCCTAATGACCTTGAAAGAGTCTTCAATTCTTAAAATATTTGGAAGGCAAAGAGGCAATTAGTAGAAAGGGAACTTGTTCATTTCTTTCTTCCTCAGCTGCTTCAGGTAAAGCTGGAAATAAAATTAATGGAGTTTTACACCCTTTTTCTACACCACTGAATGTTGGAAAATTAGAAGATGATTGCAACCTTTTGAAAACTGGTCCAAATTTCAAAATGAGGATACTCTGCCAGATTCTAATTCCAAATAATTCTGACAAATGAGATCTTCTCCATCCCATTAAATCCTCTAAAATTTATTATTTTAAATATTTTCAGAGTAAAGTGAATGATGTTACTATGAGTGAATGTTTTTTTGAACCTATTCAGGAGTCATTTACAATATTATCTCAACCTACCTCAGATAGTTCTAAACAATCTGATCACACTAATCATGATATACTGGTTAGTAATTGAAATAACAATCATTGCTCTAGTTCTTTACTGAAGCCCTTTATACTGTCTTCTGAATATGTTGCGGCTGGTTTTGTCTACTGAGCTTTGAATTGCCCCTTTTTTATGTGTACAAGCTTCCAGTTTAAGACAATTTGTCTTTAAAAACAAGTGGTAAGATTTGTTAGCTGTCTATTTGCCAAAATTCTGATTTTCATTTAGATCAGCACCAATTTATAGCACACATTGTTTTTTTTTAATCAATTCCCACTATTTAATGTGTTTTTATGACAAAGAAATGTTGAAACCTATTGATATTTTAGAGTGAAAGCATGCAACAAGTATTTGGATTGAATTCATCAAACGAAACTGATTCAGATTTCTTGACATCTATGGTAGTATCACCAGATAAAGTCCTGTCAATCAGTCAAGAAGCACCTCCCAGTCATGCCGAATTTTTATCTAGTCAAGACACACACTCCAGCCAAGAACCAATCCATGATGAGGTCCCAATTAATTCAAGTTTATTTTTGACTAATGATCATCCTCAAAGTATGATGATGTCAACTGAACAAGAATCCCATAACCGTCCTGATGAAGGAGCAAGTGAAGTTTCAAAGGATAATTCAGCTTATGAACATCCTACCCTTATAGCTAATCATGAGGAAACAGTTACATCTAATTTGGATGAAGAAAACAATATTACAGAACAAACCCAAGAAAGTAAAATATTCAGACTAGAAGAAAGGATTCACTGTATGGAAGATGCGACAAGCAGCTTGTGGTCTCCCCTTCATAGAAATAAACGAAAACAGTATACACCAACGAAACACGAGCCATTGATGAACATGACTAATTATTATTCAACTCCAGATGACAGTAATGATGGAACCAGTATGTATGAAACACCTATAAACTTTACTAACATGTTGAATTCTTGCCATAGATATACAAAATCTGAACAGTCCATGAACAGCAATTTGGACATGATCAATGAAAAAGATGTCTCACCTACCGATCAGTCTTTCAAAACAAGTGAAACATTGAATACTTTAGTGAAAATTGAACCAAATGTAACAAGTCCAGAGGCAAGAAAATCTGCCAGAATTGAGAATCTAAATGTAGAAAGAGAATCATTATCAGTCAATAAAGAGATCCAAACCACACTTGCAGCTTTTATTAATCCACAAGAGATGCCTAGTAATGCTTCAGTAACTATTACTAATACAGGTATGTTCATCATATTCAATTTAAAAGAGGTCCATTCATTTAATTGAACATTCATCAGCTGAGGCTATGATTTTATAGTGTTATCTTGAAGGAATTCTATCCCTTCGAATGAACGTAAAATTATCAAACTGACCAATAATATTGTAAGCCATACATATGTTACAAAGTGTTTTTTTTTTCAGAAAATCAACAAGTCCTACATCAAATACCATACAGTTGGACATTTCACTCTATGAATGATACTGCTGGTAAAAAATATAATAGTACTAATACTCCTCAAACTATTATCAAAATACATAGGTAAATATTTAACTTTAAACCTTGACCACTGGCTTATGTTGCAGGCACATGAACATAAAGAATGCAACTAAATAACTACTGAAAGGACTCTGAGTAATACAATATAATAAGTAATATAATGTAATAAGTCGTTTTACTGTTGACAATTGGTAAGTGTTACAGTAACAAGTTCTCATGTCACAAATGCCAGCTATGGTTCTGATTGCTTTTGTTCTTCCTGTTTGTTTCAGACCACAGGCTCCCCAGATGAAAGAGAATATTCCACCAATAACCAATTGTAAATTAGATCTGAGGAAAACATCTTGGATGAATGGCTTTATGATGTTTAGTAGATTGAATAGAAAGAATTTTATCAGGTAGCACGGACTTTATAATTGCAACTGAAAAGGAGTTGCTGTGCAGTACAAAACCACAAAGTTTGCTTCTAAGCAATGTGTTACACTATTTGGAAATTTGAAATTGAACCACAGTGTTGTATAGAATTAACAATATTTCACTAAAACACTGTATAGAATTTAAAAGCAGAATACCATTAATATATTAACAATTATGCTTGTTTTATGTATTAAGTTGTTGATTTCAGTGCTAACCCAGGGGTTCACACATCTCATATCAGCAAATTGATGGGACAGTCATGGAGAAATATGTCTGATGAGGCTCAACAACCATACAAGTAAATTTTATTATATCTTGACAATCACACAATTATATTTCATAGTTCTCTCATACGATTTTTTTTTATTTACCTCACTGGCAGAAATTGGGAGTGACTAAAACAGTCTCCTTCTGCTTTGGAAGAAATTGGTTCACATGTTCTATTCTAAACTGAAGATTATCAAAAAAGCAGAAATTCAAAACAGTTAATATGAGTAAAACTTCGTTCTAATTTCAGGGATAAAGCCCAGTTATTTCTATCAGATACAATACCTGGTAATGGTGAAATAGAATTAGAGAAAAAATCCAATCGTATTAGTATTGTAAAGATTTGTGGTTCCAGTAAACCTGGTGGTGCATGTCAACCTTTACCAGTATCTGATGTATCATCTGGATCAATACCACCATCAGTATCTTTTAAACCAATATCACCAGCAGCCAACATAAGATCTTCAGCAGCATCAACATTACAACCTCTAGCATCAGCAATAAGACCTGTGGCATCATCATCCAATTTGAGACCTATAGTAACATCATCATCCATCAGGCCAGTAACAGCATCTCTTCCTATATATAACTCACAAAGATGGATGTATCTTTAAACCAGACCAGATCAATTAAAATACATCTAGTTTATTGATAACAAAAGGTAACAATTCCAAAAAGCTAGTTAATTGACCTTAACCAGTAGAATTACAGAATTGTCCCCTTTGAAGTTTGATTCTTACTATTATTATTACTATGCTTCTCCTATAACTAAAAAATGACCATTCTTCCAGCTGTTCTAACTTTGGCTAATCGTAGGAAATATGGGATTCGCAAACTATGATGCGATGCTGCTCGAATAGAATCCTGATTAATGTGGTCAGTAGAGTAGCCACTGGTATTGAAGTTCCACACTAGTTTTATGGAATTGGGAATTGTTATTGTATTGGAAGAGTAAGAAAATGAATGTATATAACTGTTATAATTTATTTCAAGTTACTGTAGATATTTTGTTGCGATTTAAACATAGTTTTTATTATGGAATCAAATCAGGAATGATAATTGTTTTATTGTTTGTTTAAAAAGATCCTTTTTTTATTTAAATCTTTCTAATTCTTACACAAGTCGTGCAGGCTTTCAGAATATTTTAAAATTCTTAAAGATTTACAGAATATTGTTTCAGACAAACTGTCTTCAAAGTTTACATACTATTTTAATGTTAAGATCAAAAGAGATAATTGTTTGAATATAAATTATGTCCATATTTATCAAAATTGAATATCTTACTCACATTGACAGTTGAAATGTTGCAGTTTTTGAAGGAATGTTTACAATACAATGATTGTTTATTACTTTAAATGTATTAAAATTATGCAAACAATTTCATAGAAATGAAATCTTCAGAACTATTTTGTATCTTACTTGAATTAGTGTTTGAAAATAAAATTATTTTTATTTTAATGTTATTATTCAACTATGGAAAATGGATTCTTTTGCATAAAAAATACCAACCAAACAGTCTATAATTTAAAAATTTCAAATCAATATTTAAAAACAGCCAGTGAGAACACTATCGAGCACAGGGAATAGATCTCCAAATATTTACGTATGGGAAAATTATGCGATAGATTTTGTGCAAAGGGAGGTATTTACTCTCAAAATCCCAAAAGTAATATTTTCTCCCTTTGACCACAATCATTGTAATGCTAATTTCGAAAATTTACAAAGATCAAACACATTTTGGCCATAATTCCTATCTTTTTATCTCAGAAATAAAATGGTCGAATCTGAATCCTGGAGGTCACAAGATTGTGCTGAAGACATCTTTGATAGACGAAGTCAACAATAAATTGTTGAATGTCATGTGTAAATACCTTGGGGTGAAAATTAAACAGCCATATCTTGAACCCTCCCCCAGAATGAAATACAAATTCTTTTGTCTCTTTTATACCACAGTTAATCATCAGATTCGTATCAAAAATAATCCTGAAATTATCCTTTCACAGTGTCACAGAACAACTGCAATGTCATGTCTTATGATATTGTGCTCTCATTTATCAACAATAAATTCTGACTCGTCGCTAAGGATGAAGTTAAGTTTCAAGCACCAATTACAAAAATATATGATTCATCATCATTTCCAAGATTTTTTAGATCTCCAATCAAAGAAATCATTGAGGTCACTTTCATCAAGTTCATCAGAGCTATTATCATTATTAGAAACATCTTTCACAGACTGCATGATCTGATCTTTTTTATCCTGTAGATCATTTACTTCTTGTAACTTTTGTCTGAAAAAAAAAGGTTAATATAAATATATTCTCCAGGCAGCTCAGGACTAGTCTTGACCACATCAACATATTATTCCTTAAGCAGCATTGTTGGGGAGAGATTATATTAGATAGATTAACACAATTTCATGGTGTATTATGTACATGTTTCAACATTTTACATTGTCAACACTTTCCTTTGAATATCAAATCAAAATACTTACATTTGTTCATCTATTTCATCAATATTTCTATTTAAATTAAATTCATCATCAGCTACTAATTCTAACTTTTCCGATACCTGAAAAAATAGAATCAGGGAGTGAAGTTGGAATAACCATAGAACCATACTTTTCTGTCACATTCGTTTGTGATCACATTTTGAATTGACATCATATCAGAAATACAATTTAAATCAAAATACACTTGGGATAAGCTTTCTTAGAAATTCAAATTCGAAATTCTAATTTGACTAAAATTAATATGCTACCAGCAATGACAAATATTTCAACTTTTAAAAGTGTTTAAATACATTTCTCTCCTAAATAAAATGGTTTCACAATAACAAATGTTGGTTTAAAGTAAATTGTTTCACCAATGCAGTACTTACATGCGTTTCTTCTTTCATTGATTTCTGAAACATTTCCCATTCTTCCTCCATTTTATCTTTATATTCAACTTTTCTCACCTACAGGAAAAAACAAATGTAGTTTCATTAAAGAAATAAACAATTCTGTTTTAAAAGTATGACAAATTAGAACTTAAAGAGATAAAATAACAAACCTTCGCATCCATCTTAGGATCATCAAAAAATCCTTCAGGTAAAGCATCAGCTATTGTTTTTTGTTGTTCATCATCTACATCTTGAATTCTGCTGCTCTTTGGGGGTGGACCAGAATCAAAAAAATCTTTAAAAAAAAGTAAATATCAGATGAAATCTAAAAATTATTTGAACAAGGCATCTTCGAGTACTATTCATCCCAAATCCCCTCCTTAATCCAAATTTCACCCCCAAATTTTTTTAATTCACCCCTAGACTCTAATTGAGAAGCACTGACTTAAATGAAGTAACCCTTGCTTTAAGATCAACATCACAATTCAATATGACCAAAGGAGTTTACAAAATTTTGATTGTATGGCCTATGAACTGTTTTTTGCAAATTTAATTATGTATCTTCAAAGAGACCATTAATCCAAGAAAATAAATTTAAAATACCTGTTGGTAAAGCTGATATTGATGGTTTGGATGTTGAGGTATTCTCAGACTTGTTGTCTTCTTCTTCATCCTCAGAAGAAGAATAAGATGCTAAAGCTACACTGTTTTTATAAGAATTTTGGGCTGATTTGCTCTCAAAAAAATCTGATGGTAACCTAAAATGAAAAAAATAAATATAGTGTATTTGCAACAAAAGTGTAAACTATAAGATTGGTAGAAAAAATCACACATTGATTAATTATAATACATAACATTTAAATACAATACACTAGAGACTTTGTCATGTATTTCCATCTTGATGAACCCTGAAAGGCTTTTGGAGTCATTGCATATCTAACTCCATTGTATTACGAATACAGGTTGTGAGTTGTGAGTTTTGTTAACTAATATTAAAATAAGTCTGCTTAATTTGTTTTGTGGGCGTGAAAATGAGATCAGAGAAATTTAAATCTGACCAATCAGATCGGTAAAACAGAAATGAGGTCATGTTAACAAAGCACAACACCGCTTTGCTGCTGCCAGTTTGAAGAAATAAGAACACATTCTTTCCAAAAGTAATGTTTGATTTTCCCTTTTTTTACCAAAAACCAAGCTCTGTATTGTCCATATTAATAGTGGCAGGTAGCGTTGTTTGGACGTTCAACTGATTAATTCTGTCAGCTTGTGAATTTTAACTTGCTGTAATTTGGGTTTTTTTTGTCTACTGATAGATACAAATCTATGAACATAAATGTTTTTTAAGATATCATATATAAATAGTTTAACATACCCACTGCCTTCTGACTTCTTATCATTTCCATCTAAAATACAAAAAAAGCTCATGATCAGTTGGTTCCAGGTTATTGTGAATATCAGCATAATGTTTGGAACAATATAGAAATATGTGTTAAAAAATTGCTAAGATAAGATATAAAATCTAGAAATATTAAAACAGAACCTGAAACATATAGTTACTCTGGTATTACACTGTGTTATCACCAGCATGTATCCCTATCTGATCTATTATAATGTAAAATAAGTCAGTAATGTTTTCATATAAAAAGAATGACTAACCTTTGTGCTTTTTACTGTGGGGTGCTTCATTTACATCTGATGATGGACGTTTAACAGTAGCTGGTCTATTCTTAGACAATTGTAATAGCTAGAGAAGGCATATTAAATCATTTTAATGTTGAATCATCCATCAAACTTTTCTTTAATCTATGTATACCAGCACCATGCATTGAAAAGTTACTAGAAACCATCCCATCACCCTAACCTCTATAGTTTGAAAATCCCTTAGAGTAAATTTTTTCAATACGAAGAACCAGTCTTTTGTAGGCTATATTTAGTCTAATTCAAATAAGACCCAACTTTTGTTTCCTTTTTTTAATTAGTTATTATTTTTAGTATAGCCACTTCACAGTAGAGTCTGGAGAATTGAACATTCGTCTAATTACTTTTGACCTAACTGGGATAATTTGGAACATCCAATAAAAAGACATTTTCCCACTTTCAGTGGACTTGATAAACCACATCAAATGTGAAAATACACATTTAAATCACATCAAAAATCACGAAAGGTTAGGTCAAAAGGTTAATTTGACAAATTTTCAAGATTCTGGTTGTTAAACCTACTGTGAACTGTGGCTAAACTAAAAATAAAAACTAATAAAAAAAAAATGAAATGACAGTTTGGTCTAATTTTAATAAGCTTGGCTATATTTTTCACAATAGTTTGGTATATTGAAATGTTGAATTTACTTGATCATCTTCAAATAAGAACAATCAACTTACCTCTTTATGTGTTTTACTGTGCAAATGTGTTGGCCAAATGATTTCACTTTTTACAGTAGTATTACAGATTACACACACTAACTGACCTAGTGTATTATATCTAATAGTAGATTGTAAGTTAAATAAACAATATCTTAAATCAACGAAATCAAATTACATGTCCAGCAATGTCACTGTACTGTTTACCATAGGCATAATGAGAATATAAGCCTTCAAATAGCATAGTTTTGATAGCCTTTGATTATCTTTGCGATGATGGTTAGGACAGTTGGAATGAAAGTATATTCATTATTTTTATTGTTCAATTGTCGCTCGACTAAGTAGGTTCTGAGGACATCAATATACCGGTACTAAAATCTATGACCTCAAAAGGAAAATTTGTTTAAACCAATCTTGGACTCCTATAGTCAAAGGATACTTTGACAAATACAAAATGGCGAATTTCAGTTATTACCAAACGTCGCAATTTTTTTATAATCCCATCAAATTTCCTTATAATCCCAAGCAGTAATCATAAATCCATGTGTCATCTGTCAGGATGTAGTACAACGTGATTAACTAGCGGATTCCGTGTCAGTAGAAAAATTCTATGAAACACAATGTGGGCCATATTCTTATGTTGTTTCAATGACATTTAGCAATAAATCACTCGACTGACTTATTTTGTCAGTCACTATTTTTTATTTTAAATCATGGTTCTTTGAAAGAATTGTCACTAGTTATAATGAATTGATATAAAGATAAATACTAAGAGAAGTTAATTATACCATCCGGTATCCATACAACGTGTTTTTCTAGACTTATTTATAGATCAAACATTGTACACGAAAATAGGTGACGCATTCTGCCGCCGTTGCCGAATTAGTTGCTCATGAAATATGGGTCAAAGTGAAGGATTCATAATTATTCAATTATTTTGAAGAATATCTGAGGAAACATCTAAGACATAAAAAAAAAATTCTGTTTTGTTAACTTTGTCGAAATTCGATCTTCATTCCTTATATGCACGAAAATAGGTTACACCACTGTAATTCACCATCATCACTCACATGAGTGACTGAATAGTGTAAAAACCTATTAGTAAGTATCTTTCGAATATGTAAAAAGGATACTTTGCAAATGGGTGGTCTATACGTTGTATATCTTTTTTAATAGACGATTTAGTTTGTTTCATCAATTTACGAAGTTCATCCTTCGAGATTGTTTTCTTTTTCTTGGGGGCAGACATCTTGTTTGAACATACATATAAAGCCGCAAAGTTTCGTATAAATTAATCTTTGAAAAAAAACGAAAAAAAAAAACTTTTGAACAAGATGTGTCCTCCATAAGATTAGTTCTGAAAAGCAGCCAAGGAGTTTTATTCAAATACCGTCATTTAAAGCTATTTGTGATATAATAAAAAAAATATATACGAATACAATTTAGGTCGACTTTTTGTTATTTTCGGATTATCCAGTCTTGTTATTGAAGTTTTCATCAGCATAGGAGAAAATATTATTACTCTACACTAAGTAATCTACCGAAAGTTTTAAATTAATGCTTGTTTATACTTCAGTGCTAAAAAGTTTTTTTTTTTTCATTTATATAATGAATTAAAAAATGTACATGAAATGACATAAATCTTGCACTCTTGAAGGCTAAAAAATAAATTGTTTTATATAACTGTGCCAGTCGACTGTTACACAACAAGCGTCACTCCGTTAGCAGTTCGAAAGTGTTACTATAGGGACCTAAGTTATTCTGATTCGCTTGCATCTTAAAAACATTTATCCTGTATCAAATCGAATGTGGTTAAGGTAATGTAATGGAGCAAAACAAAAGGAACCAGGACTGGCAGGAGTGTCATTATTCTGCCTCTGCTTATCTCCTCTCTTCAGTAATAATGCCAACGGCATCTTAAAGATCTGATTGAAATACACGATGTAGTAAATTATAGATTTAAACCCTTACAACTTTCAAAATAGCTATCAGAGGCTTGAATAGAGGCAGATGATTCGGTCTACAAAACATAGTTTGACTGTTCATTATAACGCATTTCTCTCTGGATGTAAGCTAACTGTAACTAAAAAAGGCAATAGGGCCATAAATTAACAATATTTACATATCCTTTTTTGGTAGCTGCCATCTCTAAAAATATTCAGTTTTATTTATCCTGGCATTATACTTTAATCTGTTTGTGACGTCATACTGATCAATATGGTAATCAAATCAGATTGAACAGCGTAAAATGCTTTTTGAAATATAGACTATTAATTATAATGCCATTTGTACTCTAGCTGCTTATGAATAAAACATTTTTGCTTTTCTTTTTTTTTGTTTAGAGGTGCACTTTCTGATTTTTATCTTGTGGGAACCAATTTTGTTTTCCTGGGATAGGATCTTGACAGTGTCTTGTGTTTCAATTGAATATTTCAGCTTGAAAGAATTATAAAAATTTGCATAACAGAGCATAATCTTCCCTACCAGGATAAATGAATGGGGATGCATTCAGATTGACCATAGGTTACCAAACAGAATCATTAATTTATGAATATGGCCTTTTTTTTCCAGAGAAATATATTCCTGACTTGAGTGAAATATGAATAAAGTTCAGATGTTGAGGTTGTTTGTATGTCTACCAAAAGTTTCCAGGCTAACAGCTTGCCAGTTTTGTGTTTCAAATCGTAGGGAGAAAAATGTAAGACATAAATCAGTTTTTGAAAGATATGTGGACTTTCAGATCGAAAATAAAGTTCCTGTAAATTATGAAGGAGTTACACAGGAAGGTCAACAGAATAACAGCGAACTAGACTCTTCAACTTCTGTAGCAGAAACAGAGCAATCTGATAAAACCGTTGGTGTGGGACAATCTTGTAAGAGAAACAAAGGAAGCCTATTGACCAATGAAACAGCGAGTGATGAACTGAAAACTAAAACTCAAAACAAAGTTGATCGTCAAGATCAAGTGAATAAGTCTAATTCAAAAAATAGTAAATCAAGATATTTGAACAAACCAAGTCAAAATGCAGATGAAAACTCAGAAATTTTAAAATCTAAGGTTCAAATCAAGACTCCAGATTCCAGTTCTCCTTTAAAGTATATTTTAAACTGTGAATTGATACCAACTGATGTTAACGCAGCTTTGAAGCATGAAGACTATTTGTTGTTTCACGAATGCTTAGAAAAAACTGAAATTACTTCATTACCAACTGTGCGACAAGTTATCTCTCGGGCTGATTCCAATAATAACATACTAATCAGGTGGAGAAAAAATCAAATAAAAGAATTAGGTGAAGAAGGATTTCATAACAGTATAAAAGGTAAATTAATCGCTATGTCACATATATGATACATATACCAAGGCCTCCTAATTCAAATATATGTCAAATATGAGGGCCTATCCAGACTGGAACACATTGGTTTTGTAAACTAGTGGCACAGATTGAAAAAAGCAAGATGCCGTGCCCACAGATATTCCTGCTGATTTTCTTCCCCTTGCATGAGACTTTTTTTTGGTGATAATGATAGTCCGGAACATTGATTATATCTTTCAAGTTCCTGAATGACGACATTTTCAAACTGATGAATTGGCTCCAAGAGGCAGTTTGACATGTTCGGATTCAGTGCAAACCATTCAAAGCAAATGGCAGAGATATGAAATTCATTTTAAGATAGGTTGTAAATGAGAAGGGCCTTATATGAATATGTCTTGGAATATTTCAGCATCACAAAAACTTGGTTTGGATTTTCATAACACTATATTCAGATATTTGAGAGGGGAGACAAATATTGTAATTGCAGAGGATATACAAGAACAATGGAATAGCATCAAACATGTATTAGAATCTTTTGAAGAAGATGACATCAAATGTTTGGAAGGCTCTGTTGAACATCCTCTACTACATTATGTAGGAGGATATGATTGTATAGCTGTCTATAGGTGATTTTTATGGAACATATATTGACGTCACTCACGTCCGTTAGTCTGTCTGTCCACAATTGCTTGTAAACACTCTAGAAGTCTTCGCAGATTTTGACGAAACTTGGTGTGTGTATATCACTCTTGGATGAACCCTATTTAAAGTAACAAGAATCGAAAATCATTGCCCTTGTTCTTGAGAACGTTCAGTATTTAGCTCGTAAATCCAAGAAAACAAAACTTGGTAATATTGTTCAGTATTGTTGAATATTTCATACTGGTGATAGTAACTGTACTGCCAAATATTCTTATTTCATGTCAAAGCTGCCAATAGCCATATATTACCATCTTTATCATACAAACTTAAGTCCTTTTTGAGCTGATTAAAGTCATGGATCCATGATCCATAAAAGCTCAGGATAAGTATCAATGATAAGCTTAACTTACAAATGATAATCAACATATAAATGCAACAATCATTTACCTTGAAGTCAAGTGCAGTAATTTCAATTGTATCATCAGTTTTTAGAGGGACAAGTATGCAATCCATCAGACTTTGGTTTCAAAAATGTGATTTTTTTAGCTAAGCTAATCAGTAATAATCTTCACAGCTAACTGTTTAAATTTGAGCTTTTAAATCCATGTGTACAGAATTATCTGCGTTTGAAAGTTAAAATGACGACTATAGATTAACATATGTTTTTTGTAGAAAAACCCTGTGTATTATAGAATGGAAATCCTCCAAAAAACAAAAACCTTTTTTATCAACTACAAGAAATTATCCTCTACAAGCAGCTGCCTATATAGGTGCAGTTAACGCAAGTTTTGATACTGAATTAAAAAAGGTAAGTCAATACACGTCTGTTTTCACCATTTTCTCATGTTTGGTCAGAAAAAAACACCATCCAGATCTGCCTCTTAATAAGAATGACTCTTTAGTTGGTTAGAAAGAGGCAACTTTTGCCATGTGTATTTGTCTTAGTAATACCTAGCAAACATACCAATAGCTCTCTTTTATTTTCACCAACCTTTTTTTATATCATAAAATTGGTCGGTAATAAGGATGAAGATTATAGTTATCTCCCTCATTAGGTTTTCTGAAAATTTTATGTGTATCAGGGACACTAATAGCATCAATTTTCACCATTACAATTTATGATCAGACATCTGTGGTTCCTGGAATTCCACAAAAACTAAGTATTTGATGATGTTAATAATCGCAAAATAAGCTTTATCACATAGGGCCTTTCGCGATTACTGATGTCATCAAATACCTAGTTTTAATAGAATTGCAGGAAAATTGGAATGGTGCATAACTATGCCATCAGTGCCCCTGATACACATACAAAATTTTATAACAACTCTTTACAATCCCTTTGATAATATAAATGTTGTAGAAACTTCAGTTTTAATAAGAATTTCATGAAATGTGCATGTATGTGGAAGTCTATAATGAATTTTGAGAAGTTTTTAAAAACTTTTTCACAAATCGGCGTCTTGAAAATCACGAAATGTACTACTCATATGCTAAAAACTGATAATTGATCAAAGTTTATATATACAAGTATGTACGGTCTCTGACGATACTGGTCAGAAAATTTTATACCAAATTTAAGCAGTTACACTAATAATCCTTTTTTTTTTCAGTTGGGTCCTGTTACAAATGCTGTGGTTGTTGTTGCCTATCCAACTGGTCAGCCAGCTCATGCTCATTATTTAACTGATAAGATGGTAGACTTATATTGGAACCGATGGTTACAAATGTTGTATACTTATTGGTGTGGTCATCAATCCAAGCAGAATCTTATTTAAGTGAAATCATCTTAAATGAATTCTTGTACTTAAAAATAATACAGTACAAAATGTTTTTGTATAGTTTAACTATGCTTTAAGTAATAAATTTTAAGGAAAATCATTCAGTCTTTTAGCAATCTTTCATCATTCACCAAGATAAGGAATGATAAAATGTCACAGGAAGAGTATGAAATTTCTACCCTATTTCGTACAAGTTAAACTTCTGAAAGTCTGACTTGTGGATGGGTGTTAGTACTGTTAGTTGTAGAAAAAACTCTTCCACAATAAAAGGGAATGCAAAATTTTCATCAATTAAAGGAGTGAAATTGTATAGGCTACATAATGATTTACTTATTGAGCTGCAATGAATAGAAAGAGGATTCATAAAACCCAAAGTCCAAACCCCTTTAGAAATTAATTACTGATGAAAAAATTCCAGTCACATTTTTTTTTTTTTTTTTTTTTTTTTTACATCTCTGATCACCACAAAGTCAAATAACATAACAATTTGATTTGCCACAAGAAGTATTGAAAAAATTTACATGACTTACAAAAGAGGAGTTGCGTCCCTTTAATCAGAATTTTGGTTGTTAAAAATTGAAAAATTGGGATCAATACTAGCTTTAGAGAATTCATCAGTATGGCGATTACAAAAGGTTTGACACTGGGTTGAACACTCTAGATGCCATGGATTCCTGGAAGATCAATCCCAAGCAGTAACTACGGAAACCTCAACACCCCCAACCAAATTTGTTTTTATCAGCATTGTCCGAACCTATCCTATGCTAAATTCATCTTCATTAGGGTCTGATTGAGGATCCATCATTTTCAAGTGAACATATTGGGGATTAGGCCAGTTAAGAACGAGATATTAATGCTATTTTTCACTTTCAATCAGCACTTGAGTTAAACTCTTGCAAAATGTACTATTTTGTGACAGACATTTTGAATGAACTATAAATCAGCCGCTTAGTTTCGTATAAATTAACCTTTGAATATTAAAAAAAACTGTGTTAACAAGATTTAATCACCTCCAGATTGATTTCAAATAAACAGAAATAAGCTTTATCATGAACCGCAATTTTACACTATTTGTGATTTAAATAGAAAAAATACGAATATTAATTGTGTTAAAATTTTATAATTTTCGGACTATCCAGTCCTGTTATTGGACTTTTCATCAATACGTGAAGAAAAGGAAAATATCACTCAAACTCAAGTAATTCTTTTTTGCTTACAGTTACGGGCTATATTACAGTACTGAAAAGTGTTCTTTCATTTATGTTGAATTTATGAAATAGTGTATAGGTCTTGTTTTGACAAAATAATTAAAAAGATAGCTTGCCAGGCAAGATAACAAACGCTCACTCACCACTGCACTACCAGATGTCGGAAATGATAAATTCTTAGTGGATTGATTATGAATTGTCAAATAATCTTTGAAATATTCATAAGTCAAGGCAAAATCAAACCTCAAAACAGTTCATCAAATTCAATAATGAACAAGGTCTCATCGAAATACACACAAGGGCAATAACTCTGAAACTGTCCATCCGAATAATACCAATTTCGAATTAGACCAAGACCTCTGCAATATATATGTACATACCAAGTTTCATCAAGATCGGATCAAAACTGTAGTCGATCATGCCTACAAGACAAATTTGACACATTTTTTAAGAAATCAAGGGCAATAACTCCAAAACTGTTTATCCAAATATAACCAATTTCGAACTGAGATCTAATGAATATATACATGCTTACCAAGTTTCATTAAGATCGGATAAAAACTGTAGTCATTATCATGCCTACAAGCCAAATTTGACGCGTTTATACAAAGTTAAGGGCAACAACTCTGAAACAGTTCATCTGAATAATACCGATTTGGAATTTGACTGAGATCTCATCAATATATACATACATACCAAGTTTCATCAAGATCAGATAAAAACTGTAGTCTCTAAATATAGATACTAATCTCAGTCGAGAATCTCAAGATCGATATTGGTTTTGATTTTTGGATGAATGGTTATTGCTGTTGTGTGTACATCAATGAGACCTTGTTCATGTTTTAATTTGATGATAATTTAATGAACTTTGAGGGTTTTGCCTTGACTTATGAATACTTTTAAGACTAAAAACATTATTTAGCCACTTTAAAAAGACATAGTTAGTAATGGACAGGTGGTAGTGGGTGTATGTTAACTTGCCTGGCAAGCTATCTTCTTGTACATTATGTGCACTTTCTGATTCCAATCTTATATCATGCTGAACCCACTTCAGTTTTCATGGAGACAGTGTCTTCTTGCTTGAGGACGAATTCAGACTGATATTTACCCTGAACTAAAGATTGACCAAAGGTTGCCAAATAGAATAATTAATTTATGAATTTGGCTTTTATTTTTCTTCAGAGAAATATATTCCTGACTTGAGTGAAATATGAATAAAGTTCAGATGATGAGGTTGTTTGTATGTCTACCAAAAGTTTCCAGGCTAACAGCTTGCCAGTTTTGTGTTTCAAATTGTATGGAGAAAAATGTAAGACTAAAATCAGTCTTTGAGAGATACGTGGACTTCCAGGTAAATTATGAAGGAGTTACACAGGAAGGTCAACAGAATAACAGCCAACTAGACTCTTCAACTTCCGTAGCAGAAACAGAGCAATCTGATAAAACCGTTGGTGTGGGACATTTGAAATCTTGTAAGAGGAACAAAGGAAGCCTATTGACCAATGAAACAGCGAGTGATGAACTGAAAACTAAAACTCAAAACAAAGTTGATCGTCAAGATCAAGTGAATAAGTCTAATACAAAAAATTGTAAATCAAGATATTTGAACAAACCAAGTCAAAATGCAGATGAAAACTCAGAAATTTTAAAATCTAAGGTTCAAATCAAGACTCCAGATTCCAGTTCTCCTTTAAAGTATATTTTAAACTGTGAATTGATACCAACTGATGTTAACGCGGCTTTGAAGCATGAAGACTATTTGTTGTTTCACGAATGCTTAGAAAAAACTGAAATTGACTTGTTACCATCCGTGTCACAAGTTATATTTAGGACTAATTTTGATAATGATCACCTAATCACATGGAAAAAAAATCGGATAGAACAATTAGGCAACGAAGGTTTTCTTAACTCTATGAAAGGTAGGTTTGATTTCAATTTTAATGGAATGGAGTAAATCTCACATATTTTGTTTGTGAATTAAAATTAATCCCTATATTGTTGAAGGCTTTCGTATTTATCCTCAATTATTTTTTAAATTAAAAATATATGTCAATATTGTTCATTAATTTTCTGTAAATACTGAGGTTCTACTAGTTTACAAGAAATCTGAACTGGTTTGGAACACCAGATTCATTTTATAAACAAGTGGCTCAGATTGAAAAACAAGATGGCTGTACTCACAGATATTTTGTTTGACTAAGTAAAATTAAAATTGACAATTGATTATATCTTTAAAGCTGCCGCTGAAGGACACCATCAAAAGTTCAATTTCGAGATGAATAACGCCATTTTGAATTCCCTAAATCAGTTTCAGCTGGTGACAGTTTAACAGATTCAAAATCCTCATTCAGTGCAAACCATTTAAAACGACTCGCAGAGATTTAAAATCTAGTTTAAGATAGGTTGTAAACGAGAATGGCCTTATATTTATATGCCTTGAATATTTCAGCAAGGAAAAAACTTAGTCTGGATTTTCATAACACTATATGCAGATATATGAGAGGGGAGAAAAATATTGAAATTGCAGAAGATATACAAGGACTATGGAATAGCATCAAACATGTATTAGAATCTTTTGAAGAAGATGACATCAAATGTTTGGAAGGCTCTGTTGAACATCCTCTACTACATTATGTAGGAGGATATGATTGTATAGCTGTCTATAGGTGATTTTTATACACCCACATAAAATGTTTCGCATAAATTGGCGTCATTCCTGTCCATCCAACAGTCCACAATTACTTGTTAACACTCTAATTGTTGACAGATTTTGATGAAACTTGGTGTAAGTGTTTGTAATCATCAAAGGATGAACCTTGTTGAACATCAGCAAAATCGAAATATATTAAATGAGTTATTGTCCTTGTTCTTGAAAATGTGTTTTGGATGTGATAGAGAGCTGTTTTCTTGAAACGCTTTCAATTTTTAGCTTGTAAACAATAAAAGGCTTGATTCCTGCCAGATTTGGACAAAACTTGGTAATATTGTGAAATATCACTCCAAAAGTCTAACAGAAGTGTATGACTGAAGGTTGAATATTTAATACTGATGATTGTTACTGTACTGTCAAATATTTTTATTCAAAATCAAAACTGCCAGTGGGCATATATTACCTTGCCTCGCCAGATACTTTGATTATAGAAACCAAAGATAAGCTTACAATACAAATGATAATGAACATTTACTTGCAACAATCATTAAAAATCATAAGCCTTGGGTTTACTTTAATGGACATTTATTGTGGTATTGATATCTCTGATGGTTGGGTATATATTAAAGAATCATTTGCTCTCATATTATTTATAGATTAACATTTGTTTTTTGTAGAAAAACCCTGTGTATTATAGAATGGAAATCCTCAAAAAAACCAAAACCTTTTTTATCAACTACAAGGAACTATCCTGTACAAGCAGCTGCCTATATAGGTGCAGTTAACGCAAGTTTTGATACTGAATTAAAAAAGGTAAATCAATACACATCTGTTTTCACCATTTTCTCATGTTTGGTCAGAAAAAAAACAACCCATATCTGCCTCATAATCTGAATGTCTCTTTAGTTGGTTAGAAAGAGGCAACTTTTGCCATGTGTATTTGTCTTAGTTACACCTAGCAGGCTAATCTGAAACATCTGCCTCTAATCCAGCCCCTGATGGATATTGTGACAGTCTTTGGCTGTATTAGAGTCGGGAGAAATAGGCCCTGTTAAATGGGGATATTCCACACCTCCAAAGATGCGTTTTTTACAACATAGAATATAAAATTACCTATACAATGATTGTAAATTAGTGTTGGGCAACACTGTAACTTTCGTTTTGATAGTATCACATGATTCACATGACTCTGTGACCTCTGAACTTTGACTGCCAGTGCAGTTTTAAATGGCTGACATTGCAGTTTTAAATGGCTGATTCAAAATCACAGAACTTTGATGGAATCGGAGACATGATATTAATGGTGTTGATAGAAATTGATGAACTAAAAAACTATTCATCAATCCAAATATATCTGGGTTTGGCAGATTCATGGAGATGCAGAAAAACCCCATTTAACAAGGTCTCTTTTTTCTGTCTCTAAACCAGTCGACAAATAGCCATCAGAGACTGGAATAGCAATTACTCAATTTATTTCAGCAGATATTCACCAACTTTTTTTATATTATAAGTTTTAAGATTATAGTTTATTTCCCTTGTTCCTCAGAAATAAAAATGTTTTAGAATTTTCAAAACATTCATGATACCTGACAATCTTCTTAAAATTTGAGCAGTATTTGAGTACTTTTTTCCAAATGGGTGTCTTGAAATCACCAAATTTGGTAAATGTTCCATTTTAACCACCCACATGCCAAAACTGATTATTGATCAAAGATATTAATATTTTATGTATACCAGTATTTATGGTCTCTAGACAATTTTTGGTGAGAAAATTTTATATTAATAGGCTTAAGAATGATCCAAATCGTTTTGTAATTAATTTTTTTTTCTTTTGGAATTAATTAATAAGATTGGAATGATCCCCCTTTTTTCTTTTTTCAGTTGGGTCCTGTTACAAATGCTATGGTTGTTGTTGCCTATCCCTTTGGTCAGCCAGCTCATGCTCATTATTTAACTGATAAGATGGTAGACTTATATTGGAACCGATGGTTACAAATGCTGTATACTTATTGGTCTTGTCACCAATCCAAGCAGAATCTTATTTAAGTGATATGCGTGAGAATAATACAGTGCAAAATGTTTTTGTATAGTTTTAACAATGCTTTATATAATAAAGTAGAGAAGTATTTATCCAAATGTCAGATATTATTTTCAGAATACATCTACCTTTGAAGCAAAGTATTGTTTGAGTGTCTTTCATGTTATTGCAATGTCATATCGATGGTCTGATAACTTCAGTCATATGATTCTAACGGTGATGCCCAACATCATTTAAGTTAGAAAAAACGTATCTTATGGAAAATCCTCTTTTCCATTGGTTTCTATATTATTTTTAATTTTCAACAAATTTGTCCATGAATATACGTTACAATAATGTATTTTTCTATAATTCAGATTGGACCTCTTTGGTAGTCAAATAGTTTAACATAATAGTTGGACTGTATAATAAGTCAAATAATCTGAATGCAACATGACTTGCAAAAGAAGAGTTACGTCCTTTTAACCACTTTTACGAAAGTGAGAAATAATTGCCATTCATTTAAAAAGTTTCTGATGAAATGTTGAATTAAAGAAAAAACTCAGTAAACACTGTCAACATCTCTCAAGATTTTTTTTTTAACAGTTTGATCGATCTTAAGGATCTGAGGCGTCAGATTGGAAACTGAGTTTTTTTGCACATCAGTAGAATTAACCTATGCAAACTCTGCACGGCAGGATCCCACTATAATAAAATAATCCATTAAACTAATGCATTTGAGCCTCCAATCTATTTCCAGTATTTCGGAAGACTACATATTCAAGACTCAAATCGGAATGTCCCTATTTAACAGTGTCTATTTTTTCTGTCTCTACAACAGCCGACCTCTGTCCAAATAGCTATCAGAGGCTGGAATAGAGACAGATGTTTCGGTATTATCGCCTGTTAATATTTATACCTATATATATATGTATGTTGCAGTGAACGAGCTATTTTCAATAAAGAAGCATCAGATGAGGCATTGTTATTTATTGTTAATATATTTCTATTTGAAAGAGAAACTTAACCCTTTTGCAACTGTAAATTTTTATTTTTAGGAATTCTCCACTTGTCATAATTTAGAATGGCACTGTATTCCTTCGGGCTCAGCCACTGGTTCGGATCGTCAAATAAAATATGTTTCAGTTTCATCACATTCCAATGTTCAACCACTTGACTATTATTATACCTTTAACCTAACACATGATCCAATTTGAGTACATTTCTTGGTCGTAAAACACACCTTGTCATGGTATTTAATTCACAAATTTCAACCTTTTTAGACATTGAGATCCCGGGTTAAAAGTTAGCCTTTAAAATAACAAGTTTACATAAGAAATATAAATCTAAGGTATGTTAGCGTAATTAGTTATTTTTTTAACCTGAATATTGTTTTCACGTAATCATCACTTATGCCTGTTGTCAACTTTCTAAGGTAAATGTGATTTGCCTTAAATATTTTTCAACAAAATTACTTTTAAATCCATATTGATCTAGAACAATTCGCCAACATGTTATTTACCCCGCCCGAACAATCAGATCTGGCTTCGAGCCTCTGTTCATGTGTAGTCAAAATATTGATAATCTGAAAGTCGGCAAAGCAAATTTACCCTTTTAGGCTATGTCATTTCAGATTTGGGTAAAGAATCTGTTCCATTTTGATTACGTAGTTTCTACACTGAAAATGATTTGTCTTTTTGTCGTTTCATTCGACCTTGACTAGGTTGGCCTACATCAAGAATTCACTACAATATTATTTGAAAGCGAGAATGTTTAAAATTGCCTAGGCCTATATACTTCGACTACGGTTAGGCCTACCTTCCGCTACGTATATTCCTTAAATTGTGTAGTTCCTTCCTGAAAGGTGGTATTTTTGCTATTTGTTAGCTGTTAAGAAAATAGATAGACGATTATGTCTGGTATCATAAAAAAAAGTACGCCTTCGTTCGGGAAAAACGATTGAATATAGGCTTACCAATCAGAAATGAAATGAAATGAATGTAGTTTTACGTCCTACTTTTCTGCACCATGTGGGCTAATGAAGACGGGTAACGCCATGCAGGGTACAATGAGGGAAATTTTGCCAGGACAGCGGCATTAGCCTGCTGTTTTTCGATTTCCAACTGTCGACGGGTCTTTAACGTGCACAGCCTGTAGCACACGGGGCCTCAGTTTATTGTCCCATCCGAACGACTAGACTATTTTTCCATGTCAGCCCCTCGTACCTGCATTACTGACAGGGGGAAACCGGGTTGAAAAATCCGAAGGTATTATCTCAACCTATGCCGGGATTGAACTTACCAATCAGAGAGATAACCTACACATTATTAGTACAGGCCCCTACCAATGTCACGGTAACATTTTCTAGCAGATTTTCACTAATTATTGCAATGTTTTCAAATAAATATCAAAATGTTACATGGTATATTGGTATTTTGACGAGAGTCATTAGAGATTTCTTATCTCTAGAAAGGTAGGTTCCTTTAGCGGTTTATCTTGAATTTGGCGCTGATTCAGATCATGCAGACACCGAATAAGATTTTTATATCTGAAATTAATAATTTGTGAACTGAACGTTTCTGACTATGCACAATTAAAAGCTATTGGCTATAGGCTATACTCCCGGAAATTTGAGGAATAGGGTGGCGTCCAAGGACCATGAAGTCGCTATCGGATCTAATAGATCATTACTGGAACGCAACGGGGGCGTTATCTGATCGTAATCGGATCGTAAGTGCCCTTATATCACCCCATTCTGAGGAGATCTTTGGCGCTCCTTTCGAGCGCGTAGATCGCCGTAGACCGCCGCCTATAGTGGAATAGGGGTCTAATTATATCTTGATAAATTAATGTAGTGAAAATAATGTTGTCGAAACAATAGATGAACTTATTTAAAAGCCATGTCGTATTTTTATAATACCTGCCCAAACAAAAATACTTGAAAAAAAAAACACAACAGTGCGACTGGTTGAACGGTTGATGAAGAGGGCGAACTATAGGGGGATCTTACCTCTTCAATATATAATAGAAAACAATATTATAGGAATCATTGTTTATTGATATTGTTTATTGTTGGAGGTAATATTGTTGGATTATCTTTCTAATAATAATATTGTGGTATTTAAGTAGTACAATACTAGATATAATGAGTGACCGTGGGGCAATGTATATAATGACCAAGGGGCAGAGTACTTCAAGTTTTATATTGTTCCAACTGAGTGGACAATAATTGTCACTCCCACTGAGCGGAGATTTTGAAGATTTGTGTATTCCCATTCACGACAAATGTGTCCGAATCACTCTGACGATATCGAGCTCTCGAAGAGCGAGAGTCTGAAGAAACAACAATTATATACAAATCTTAATAAACTAGATGGAGCTGTTCCAAAGATTTATCACGAATGCGGTTAGGTGGACTGGACCTTCTAGTTCCACTTGAGTTAACGAGAATCACACCCGTACATAACGCCTGTGGAACTCACTGGTAGAGCTAGCTTGGTCGGTTAGTATGTTGTGAGAAGTCGGTATCTTGAAGTCGACAGTCGGTCAGTTAGAAAGTCTTCATGCATCTTTGGTGTATTACCTCTAGAAAAACTAAAAAAGTTCATGATCTTTAGTGGTCACAAGCCGGGTTAGTCAGGGGATGTGACCTTTATAAAAAAAATAATCTTCTTCATAATACACGGGGATTAACCGCCTAACCCTGTACCCTGCCCATCTATTGAGAAAAACTTTTAACCAAAATATTACAACAAACCTTAAATTTGTTACCAGACAAAATACACTTTGTATACCTAATCTTTTCTTTACAATTCAATATACCCTCGATCGTGACTATTCGGTGCCAAGAGTAGTCAATGCCTTTTATTTCCTTTTTATGCAAATATTTCCATTCAAAGTTTCATGTGTCAATTACAGTTTTGTAAGAAAGATATATTTGTTGTGAAAACTTTCGTTTTGTTTACTTAGATTCAAACAGCTTCATGTAAGTAAACATGCTTTTCAACCAGACAATTACGTGATTTAAAATTGAATTTTCATCACTCAATTGATAGGACAGTTTTAGAATATGATATATGTGGGAAAATGATACAGAAAATATTACAGCGTTTTAAGATTACCATGTTATGTTATTATAAGATCAAACGAATTAACTCAAGTCGGAACTTTATCATTGCAATGGTCAGGCTACCGTTTCACAAAAAATAAATATGATAAAAATTAGTCTGAAAGGGTGATTCTTGCCATTCTTTAAACCCATGAGATTTATGATAGTCACTATCTCAAACTTACAAACAGACATTATCAGTGTCCCCAATACACATTAAAATATCAGAAAAGCTCTTTACTCTCCCTTTAAAGGAACCGAGGCGCCAATCTCTTTGATCAATCATACTTTAGTCTCCGAAACGAGAATTTTTTTTAGCTAAGCCAATCAGTATATAGTGTTTACAACTCACCGTCGAAATTCAAAGCCATGTGTGTACATAATTATCCTCGCTTGAATGTTAAAATGACGACTCGTCAATGATACTCTATGATATATAGAAAATACATATACATGTATAGAAATAGTGAGTAAATTTCCTAGTTTGATATATTTTTGAAGGAATTGTGCGATTTTAGTACGTTTCTAGTATTTCTGAAGACTATTTACATATTTCAACACTACAAATTTGCCCCTTTAAGTGTGAAATTTTACATTAGGAATAAGCAGTCTTACGACAAAAAATTATCGCCTGATTTTATGCGAGGCCATGGCCTGATTTGTACTTCATTTCTTTACTTTGATAATTTTCTTTAAGGAAATGCTAGTGAGTTGGTAGTTTTGTCGATAAACTGAAATCCTCTTAGATTGTTCTGCCGATACGCTTCAATTCTTTTTTGTTGGTAAATGAGTTTGTAAAAAATCGTAATTTTGTTAGTTGTTTCCTAGATAGGATGTACTCCTTATTGGTTATTTTGATGATATTTTTAAATTTCATTGTTTCCTTTGATGGTACATTGATAATCCTTTGTGTTTTCTGGA